TTTGACATCTGAAGTGATGTACTTTTGGCGATATTTTCCTTTAAATTTCGCCATTTTTATGGCGCTTCACCAGTAAATCGAAAGGGAAGAAATTTAAAATTCTGCAAAAAAAATCAGATGTTGATCAAATTCCCAAAACGACCTCTCAACGTAACAAGGTGGATTTTCTAGCTTCGAATAATGGGTTTTTATCCGGATTTAGATCATTTTCTTTGCATGGCAAATTGTTAAAAATGTGCCCTAAAATGTCCGCTGAAAGCCCTCTCAGAGGGGCAAAACCAAGATGGTCGCCCCAGCGCTAAAATACGAATCGAATTGAACTGAAAAATATATTTTTGTGAATCACTTATCTAGACCTTTCATCTGGGAAAGTTTGAGGAATTTCATTTTTTTTCTCGTCCAAATGATGATAGTTGAAACTTATAGAGGGCGGCTCTTAAATACAGTTAGGTGTTTACGAATCATTGCAAAACTGATATTTATAAATTGCCAAGTCTTAATCAATTATTTTACAGTTTTGTGAAAAATGATTAGGTCTTCGATCTCCTATTAAAACATCAAATGTCCTCCTAACCTGGACGAGGACTGTACAGAGTAAAATGTGGCGATGACAATAGGGGTCAAATGCCCCACATATGCCCAGGGTTCCTCCCTCACCTAATCATCAAGCTTGGCATTGATAGCTGTCCAATAACATTACTGGTGAGCACAATACAAATTGTGTAACTGTCGCCTCTATTAAGGGAGTCCAAAGTTATTACACCTTTTGCTGTTCATTTACAGAAAATATCCATTCATTTGTGTCCAAATCTGTTTCATTATGGTTAATATACTCTCATTAACACCAATATGACCTTCATTTGCGTGCAAGGAACGTTCAAAAATAATATTTGCATAGTATTAACATTCAAAATCATCAAAAGATAAACAATATCTTCCTTTGACATTCATTGACTGTAAATGTATTGTCATTTTTGTCGAAATAAAATTCGTTGTCACGAAACGACAATCATTTACACTTTTGGACAATCCTTTTTCAACAAAAGACTTTCA